ATACATATATATGTAATTTTATATATGTAAATACATATTTATGTATATAATTTCAAACTTATAAAAATATACAAGGTTCACCATTTGTTAACATTTTGTCCCATTTACTCTATTATTTTTTCATACATAAAATTTATTTCTGAAACATTTGAGAGTAAGAATAACAGTTTTTGACATTAGAAACACAAGTCCGTTTCACTGTGTACGTTTTCTAATGAGAGGCTCTGTTATCACTCACTGTGTGCCTCTCTACTTTCCCTGCCCACCCTACCCCTTTATTTACAAAAGTACATAAGTGATATGTGCTGGCAATGAACAACCAGGCACACTATGGAATATATAAAATGGAAAATGAAGGCTCATCAGCTCCATCTCTGTTTTACTCCTTAGAGATAACTAACGGTAATGTTAACAATCTGGTGTCTGTCCTCTTAAGACTTTTCATATACTTTGTTGTAAAATAATTATCATTGTAGTAATATAATGTGCAGTAAAACAACTACCTAATAGTGTGATTTTAATTTTACTGAAGTACATTTTTAGAGACTCCTTCCAGATGGGCTGTGGGCGATACATTTCTTAATCTTAGTATGCCTGAAACTGTTTTATCTTTATTTTGTACGTATTCTTGGATGATAGGTTATTCTCCCTGAGTAAAATACATTTCTCCATCATCTTGTGATATCTATGGTCTTCTCATATGTGTTGTGTGCTCTTGCAGTCAGTTTTTGGCAGGTTACCAGTCTTTAGTCTCTGGTAGCTTTTAAGAGTTTCCCTTTACTATGGGCTATCTGAGTCTCACCCTGCTCCATTTATTTTTACTTATCCTACTTTGTATTCATTAAATACTTTAAAAATTTATGTCTGTCTTCAGTGTAATGAAATTGCCAGCACTGAGATCTCAAATATTGCATCTCTGCATATGTCATTCTCTGCATTTCCTTCTCCTCCTCCTCCTTTGTTTTTGTTAAATGTGTTTTTTATCTTAGAGAGAGTGGAAGAGAGATGGAGAGAGAAACATCATTGGCTGCCTCCTGCATGCCCCCTACTGGGGACAGAGCCTGCAACCTGCAAGTGCCCTGATGGAATTGAACTGGTGACCTCTCTGGGCATAGAACAGTGCTCAGCCAGCTGAGCCGCACTGACCAGGGCCATTTCCCGCTTTTGAAACTCCTCAGCTCCTCCTGGACTTAGGTTAGCGTTCCTTTATCTGTCCTCCTTGTTTTATAACCATTGTTCATGTTTTGAATCTCTGTCTACCTTTACTGCATTCTGAGTGAGCTCCTGGGTACTATCTTCTAGTTCACTGACTTTATCTTTAGTCATGTCTAATCTAGGGTTTGACTGGCCTATTAAGATAACTATATAGTTTATTCCCAGGATTTCTAATGTTTTCTCTTACATACTCATTCTTCTTTCATCTCTGCCTGTTTTTTTGTTTACTAATTTAGCATCCTCTTGATGGATGTTAATCTGTCTTTGTTATTTTGTAGTATCTTAAATATATTTATTTTAAACTTATTTGATCCTAGTTGTGCTTTCCATAGCTGGTGGAGCCCCACTCAAGTCTCTGGTTCCGTTACCCTGGTCACAAGTGGAGCCAGTTCATGCCCTTCTTGCCCCGTGGGAACTAAAATTTCTTCTTACAACTGCTGGCTCTCAGATGCAGAACCCCAGCAAGCCTCTGACACCAGCAAAGCACTTGCTCTGCTCTGTCTTCTGTGCCATTTCTCTCTGCTTTCCACTTTCTCCCATTTTTTTTTACCCTCGGCTTTGTACCTTTTTTAATTTTTTAAAAATTTTTTATAAAACTCATTGGTGTCATCTTGATAGATATTCAGGAGTGAGCCAAAGTGAGGGCATGTATGTTGTCTACCACGTTTAACTGAAATACCAGGTAGTAGTTCCTATTTGCAACATTAAAAAAAACTATTTCTTTATTTAAAGAAAGAAATAACTTTATGAGAATAAAAAATATAACTCTACCACATTCCCCAGAATACATTGATCCATATGGTGCTTAACACATTTTTATTGCTAATTTTTCCTAAGGCTCTTTCTATTTTTTATTTTTTTATTATTATTTTTACATTTAAACCAGCCTCTATTAAGATGATTTGCTCATGGGTACAGCTGTGATGACAGTCTGCAGAGTAAGGGATCTTTGAAGCAGTGCTAGATTTTGACACTGATGAGTCTAGCACTTAACATAATTTCTCTTTCATTCTTTGACAGTAATTTTTTTTTTTTTTTTTGGTAAAAAAGAAGAAATTCTTACCATTTGCAATATAGAACTAGAGATCATTATGCTAAGCAAAATAAGCTAGTCAGAGAAAGATAAATAACACATGATCTCACTCATTTATGGAATATAATGAACAACATATTTGCAGCATTTTAATACAAAGTGATTAGTAAATTGGTTAAACATTATAGCTTATTAGAAAGCCAACCAAGCACTGGCATGCTCTCTGATTTTTATTTATGGCTTATAAAGCATAACTTTGTGATATTTTATTTTCTCCAGCTTCTGGAGGGATATAATTTAACTTTTGTTAGTTTATTGAAAATGGTGTGATTTAGAAAGTGAGACTCTTTTCGGTGTCTACATCTTTTAGGGATTAGCCATAACCCTTGTTCAGGCCTCAGTGCATACGTGCATCTTAAAGAACACATCTTGGGTGCTTTTAGGATGATTGTAGACTGCTGGTTCACTGCAAGTGTGACTGGCCATAGGTTGTTCTTCGTGAGTATGACTTATTCAGCAAGCTCCCAAACAATCTTCTGAGCGTATTTGTCTGAATCAGGGGCATAGTGAACAGATGTCAAATGTAATCCCCATCAATAACAGGAAAATATAGGTATAGAATGAATCACATTTGGTAGTAGTGGCATAACAGTTTAAAAATCTAGACTGCTATAGTGAATGTACTGGAGAGATAAAGTTCTTACCATCCTGTATTGGGTATATTTGATGTAGTAGACATTCTACAAATACTTCCCGTGTGAATAAATGGATTGTGGCTGGGGGTTCCAACCACAGCCTCTTCACTTTACTGTATGTTACCTTGAACCTGATCTGCCTTTCAGAGCAGGGACCTATGCCCACTTGTCTCTAGCTCTGGCTTCCTTATACTCCAACCCATTTCTGCTTCATGGGGGCCCAGGCAAAGGTAGTGGGACAGTGCTTATTCCATAAAATTATAACATAATCTTTGTACATGGCTATTGATCCAAACAAGTTCGTTGTGGAATTGTTTTTCTCTGATTATAAAAATTACATGTATGTATCGCAGGGAAGTTGTGCACGTCAAAAAAGAATGAAAAGTAAAATAACCACACATGATCCAGAGATAGTTAATATTTTGTAAGCTTCCGTGTGATATTTTAATGATTATATGCATCAAGGTCCACTGAAGCATTCAGAAAACACTATTTTAGCAGGAAGGGATTTCATCTAGAAAATCACAGCTTGCAAAAGCATTGGAAGCTTTGGGGAAGCAAAGTGCAGGAAACTTACTGGCTTTGGGAAAATAGGCAGTGTGAGAATCACAGGAAGGGACTCAGTTGGCTACGGCATGAAGTAAGGGTTTTTTGGGAGTGCGCCCCGTGCCTGCCTGCCACTGCTGCAGAGAGGAATAGGGCTTCCCCTTCTCTCCCACCTTCCACATCCTGCATACGTGCCTCCATGAGTGGGACCTAAATCAGCCCATGCTAGTAAGGGGTTCCGGGAAGTGTGACCTGGGGGCTCCTGCCCTGAGGAGGTACAGAGAGCAAAAAGGCCCTGTCAGCTCTGAGTGGCACTCATGTGATTGCTTACTCTTGTCACTAGCCTTCCTATATCTTTTTCTAAGTCTCTCACCATGAGTTATTTCCATAAATGTCTGGCCACCTCTTATTCTAGGCGAAGTGAACCCCCAGATACACTGTTTGAAGTTCTGCCCACTATGAGGGTTTCCCTGCTGTAACGCCCTTAGAACTACTCCTGAGCAGGCTTTTAAGTATCAGCAACCTTCTAGAAGGTGCCAGCCTATTGGGCGTGACCATCTGTAAAGCAGGCCTGACTTTTCCCCCCTCGGTCCACTTGGGCATCAGAAAACTCCTCAAGAGGCCGCAGGTGTGAGTTGAAGAGAGTTGGTGAAGCATCAGGGCTGGATGCCATGTGCGTCGGGCCTCATGCAGTTTGCTAGCCTTCACGATCTGTTCAGTCTTGGTGTCTGTCCGTACCCCTCCTCTCGAGGATGGAGTGCTGCTCAGTGCCCACCTGTGTGCAGTCTCCACCAGCACCCAATAGCAAGCCTGCAGCTACTCCTCCAGGCAGGACCGAGAGTGTTGGAACAGGGATGGCTTTGCTCTAAAACCCCCGGGATCTATTCTGTGATCCTCCTATTAAGTCTGTCACCCATGGACAGAGGCTGGTACCCAGCGTATCTACCACCTAAACTTGGAGCATTACCGAAACTGCCGATGGGTGTAAGGCCCCCGGGGCAGAGCCACTTCCCTGGCCGCGTGGACCAGCTGCAAAGCCTTCCAGGCCCTGGACCCCCTCAGAGCTGACAGCGTTCTAGGTGGTTTGGTAAGAGGTTCAGAGGAACATTTCAAATGTGGTAGAAATTGCCTCCAAAATGCAACCCCCCCTTCCCCCCCATCCCCAACACACACTTGAAAAGGCAGAGGTGGTTCTGAAGATGACACACCACATCCGCACACTCCATCGTGTTTTGTAATTGGGCCCTCACTGCAGATACGGTTTTGTAGTCACGATCATTGTAAGCCTTGGGCCCTTTGACGATTACATCTAGAATCTTTTTAAGCACACCCCTGTGGTTTAACGTAAAGACCATAGTGAGGGCAGCTCTGAATTCATTTGAGCCTCTGCTAAAAAGGGGCTCCTCGCATAGTTCCTTCGAGTGGGGCCATGCATTGTAGAGCATGCAAGGGAGCCCGAGCACTTGTTTTGAAACTTGAATGAGAATGAGCTTTGTTGTTTGCCCGGATAGATGTGATGCCAGCATAGCCAGACTCTCCGCGGAGCACAAATCTACCTATGAGGGCCTTCAGCACCTGAACAAAGAACAGCAAGCTGCCAAACTTATCTTGGAAACAAAGATCAAGGACGCAGAGGGCCAGGTATGACCTGTTTCAGGTAGCCGTTTAAAAGGGGTCATGTTCTTTAGAGCGCCTTGGTGCGGCCTGTCTTTTACAGGGGAAACTACCGGCCTAGGCATTATCTCTTTTCTCTGCTTCTTCCTTCCTCCTGCGTCACTGGAGTGGCGCTTCATGAGTAGGGCAACCAAATCACCGGGATTATTTGTTACAGTCCTAATTCTAAAGATTCCCCCCCCCTTTATTCTGAAAACAATCACTACATCCCAAATTATAACTCTAAAACTACCTCTCGCACGGGTAAGTGGTCGGCATTCTTTTACATGCCGGTCGTCGCAGTTTGGGGTTTGGGAAAAGGTTGCTGTGTTCACCGGGACTCATCGCATGTGCAGGTGTACCCGTAGTCTGTATGTGGGAGGAAATTAGGGCAAAGCTGGAGGATAGGCTGGCGAGTGGATTGTCAGTATTCCACCTTGAAATTCACAGTTTAATTTCAAAGAGCAAAAAATTCTTGGCGCCGAAACCGGTTTGGCTCAGCGGTAGAGCGTCGGTCTGCGGACTGAAAGGTCCCAGGTTCGATTCCGGTCAAGGGCATGTACATTGGTTGTGGGCACATCCCCAGTAAGGGATGTGTAGGAGGCAGCTGGTCGATGTCTCTCTCTCATTGACATTTCTAGCTCTTTATCTCTCTCCCTTTCTCTCTGTAAAAAAAAAAATCAATAAAAAATATATTTAAAAAAAAAAAAAAGAATTCTTGGCATTTAACAGTTTGCTTTTTGGCCACTTACGACTTTCCCTTTGCCTTAATGGGCCCTGACTTCCTGGGACTTCCCCACAGTGCGTGCTCTGCTTGCTCTTCTTCACTTAAAGAGGGACTATGCCAGGGAAGTGGGGCATCTGGTCAACTTACTGGATTAACAAGACTTGTGTCCTAACTACATCCAATAAGTAGATATATCTGTGTGTGAGAAAAGCACAGACATTATAAAACCATGAAAAGAAGAATAAAATGACAAGCCCAATGCTTTCTTTTTTTTTTTTTTTATCACAGAATGAGTGTAGATAAAATTATTATACCAGAAAATAAATGCTAAGGAAATATTAAGCTTTCTGATAGCCAAACCATGAGTAATACATCTAGAAATCCATAAAAGGAGATATATTTTTTCTTTGTCCTGGATCTGAAAACTATTTGTTTCATGAATCTTTAAGGACCATTGCAGAAAATTAAGACATTTCCTCTAGCACTCGTTTTATGTTAAATGGTAGTGAAAAGGCAAGGGAAATGGGTAGGCAGTAGGAGGGCTGCATACAAATTATGTTTTCTGGTAACTAAACGATACAGAAGTAAATCTGGGACCTTAATGGATTTTGTAAGTGAGAAGAATTCCATTCTCTGTGACTAGCAGCTAGGTTCCTAGTAGAAATTTCAGGATAAAAGTCACTATATTTTGTGCCAGCAGGTGGCAGTAGTGTTCCTCAGAGATCTGTAGCTCAGTGCTCAGCGCACAGGGAACATTTTGGCAGAGCTGCTGGTCTTGCTTTTTGATGGGGCACATGAAAGAAAATGGAAGTGGAGAGATGAGGTGAAGTCCTAAACGGCTGTATTAAATTAGACTGAATCTTCATGCCATTTGTCTAGAACATAGCTTACAAAATGTTTTCTGAAATGACCTCTGAAAAACTCGATGTGATATTCCACGCAAAGTCTCTTTTCCAGATTTCTCAGCTTTTGAACAGAGTGGACTTGTCAATATCTGAGCAAAGCACCAAACTGAAGATGTCCCACAGAGATAGTAACCACCAGCTTCAGCTCTTGGATACTAAGTAAGTAATCAATTTATAAACATTTTATTTCTAATAGTAGGAATTCTTTATGAATTTATTCAATACAACAGCTTCCCCCTCTTATTTATTGTATAAACAAAGTGACAACAGTACTGGAAATCGAAAGGAAAAGTATCTGTGCAGCATGCTGTCGCTTCACCTGCCTCATTTTTGTTTTCTTGGTTGGACAATCATCCATTCATTCATTCGATAAAAAGTTGAGCACTGGCCAAGGTGCTAGGATCAGTATTGAAGAGAAACAGATGGTCTTGTTCTTGTCCTTGTGTAGCTGATAGTCTAGGGCTGTTGTCGGCAAACTGTAACTTGCAAACCACATGTAGCTCTTTGGAGACTAATAAAGAAAAAGAGAACCAGGCTCCAGTTCTGGGAGATAAAAGGGAGAATGAGGAAGAGCCCAGATAAATAGGGGAGTTAGGAGGGGTTCCAGGACAATGACCTCTGAGCTGGGAGCCCTGGGGGACCCTTTGAACTGCAATATTAGCACCTGGTGTGGCTTTGTGTGACTCTGACACCTCCGTGCCCACACTGTCAGCTCTTCATGAGTAGGAAATACTGTCAGGTGCTTTTCTGTTATATCATCTTCCTCAAACCCCTTCCCAAAATAATGCTAAATGCAAGTCTATGAAAAGGTAAGCATGTAATTCTGAGTGGGCTCAGTTTAATGCCAACATATTTATGAGAAATTTGATAATCGGAGACTGTTTGAATTGTTTTACATCTAACTTGCTGACTCTTTTATTTTAGATTTAAAGGTACAATTGAGGAACTCAGTAACCAGATTTTATCTGCTCGGAATTGGTTGCAGCAGGAACAGGAACGGATAGAAAAAGAACTTTTACAGAAAATCGATCAGCTCTCCTTGGTTGTTAAGGAAAACAGTGTAGGTATTGATGTTTAGCAATAACATGGTCATTTGCCGAGGGTCTGCAATGTTGGAGTAATACCTAGTAATTTATCATCGCTTCATTTAGCACCACATTAGGCTGTTCCAATGCTTGCCTTAGAATCCATTTCATGGTTCATATTGGTTCTTTGTCATAAAGAGATGGAGTACTCTGATTTGTTTTGGTTAACAAAGGCTAAGTAGAAAACTTTAATAGCTTCAGCTAAGATGAATTTAAGTGAAGACCTAATGAACCAAACTGTCCATCTGCTTTTCTAAATCAAACAATGACAGACTTCAACCTAGGTTGTTTTAATTTCATGACCGGTTATAACCAGTCTTGGCTAGATTTCTCCCTCTGTCGCACTGTAACCGCAGTATGAGACGTCATGGTGCAAAACATAAAGAGAATCCATTGTTTTCTTTCCCAGCTTCCTTGTCCTTTTGCCCCACTCTTCCAGAGGACTCAGGAGTGCAGAACTGCTCACACACCATATTGAGAAAGCCTTGCATAGATAGGATTCAAAACCAGTAAACTCTGAAACCGGTACTTGGCAGGCAGCATTTTTGGTTTGGTCATTTAGCCTAAGCATCTCCCTCTCCCTTCTCTTTTCTTGCACTGCTTCCTCCTGTCGAACGTTGACGGAGCAGAAGCGACTGATGCAGTTTGCATCTCTAGCTCTGCCCTCTGAAAGCCCAGCTGTTGAATTGCAGACTCTGCATTGACCAGCATTGTGAGAGCTTTGTCCTGCCACAGCCCATCCGCTTTCAGCTTGGAGTTTGTGGTCCTGCCCTCCAGAGCTCACCTGCAGACAGATTTCCATAAAAATGAAGCATGGCGGGAAGGGAAGGGAAGAAGAGAAGGGAATAGTTACCATATCACATATTTCTTTATATGTCCTCTATATTTTTATCAGATCTACTGATTGATTTACTTAGATTCATGCTAATACATGTGTAGACTCTGGGTCTTTGGATTACTTATTTTTACATGAGGACTGTTCTAATAACTAACAGTAAGCCCCAGGATAGTGGGGTTTAATAAGATAGATGTTTATTTCTCTCTCACATAGAAGATGTCTGGGCCAGTGTGGTGGCTTGTCAGTCCTCAGAGTTTCAGCATCCTCCTGGCATAATTGCCAATCCTAGAGAGTGACCCCTCTCCTCATAGTTCAGGAAGGTCGCTGGAGCTCCAGTCATTGTCTGAATTCCAGAAAGAGGGGAAAGAAGGACATGCCTCAGCTCTCTTTTAACTCTTCCTAGAAACTGCCAGGTACACTTGAACTTGTATGTCATCGGCCAAACTTAATTATATGGCTACCCCACACTCAGGAGACAGTAGTAAATGTCATCTGTAATCCGGGTGACCTAATACCCAGCTGTAAATTGGGGTTCTGTTAAAAAGGAAAGGATCATGGATATTAGAGTGACCAATGAGCAACCTTTGCGATTCCGTTCCCTGCAGACTGTTGTTAAAGACATTATAGCTGATGCCAATGCCATACAGAGTTTCTTTTGTGAGTAATCAGGTGCAATTCTTGTCATGGATCTCAGGGAGCCAGTGAGAGGGACATGGAGAAGAAGCTCAGCCAGATGTCAGCCAGACTGGACAAAATAGAAGAGAGTCAGAAGAAGCATATGGAAGGGCAGAGAACAAAGCAAGAAGAAGAAAAGGTGCATGGACGAATCAGCAAGCTGGAGTTGCAGATGACGGAGGACATGAAGGAAATGAAAGCAGAAGTTGATGCTGGTAGGCTGAAAACAGCTCCTATGGTTTATTTTCTGTTTGATCTAGAAACCAATTAATTAGTATTCCCTACAACTGCCCATGACCCTGGCTAATGGTAAGAACAGTGAAATGGCCTTTGGTGATTTTCTAAGAAGCTATGCTGTATTCAACTAAAACATCATTTTAATTCCAAGGACACGAAAAGCCACCATGAGGGACAAGCAAACAAAATGAGGATTGCTTAGCCTGTAGTTGATGTGTACTTTCTTTAGTGCTGTGTACAGATTCCTTTCTGTTCATAGCCAAGGTCACTAGGTCTCATAAATAAGCACATATCTTTGAGGGGCTTTTGAAGGCTTTATTGTATACTGCTAATAGGGACATCACGGTAATGAGTTGTTTTCCTCTACTCAGAAGTCAACAGGGCTCACTAATTCACACTTGTTTAGGAGAAAATGTTAGAACTGATTTCAAGTTCTAAGGGCTGACATAAAAGGAGGAATTAGATTTACCCTCTGAGTCAGGAATACAGAACTGGAACCAGTAAGTGAAAATGACCCGAATACAGATTTTATTTATAAAAATCTTTTTAAAAAAATATATTTTATTGATTTTTTACAGAGAGGAAGGGAGAGAGCTAGAGAGCTAGAAACGCCAATGAGAGAGAAACATCGACCAACTGCCTCTTGCACACCCCCTAATGGGGATGTGCCCACAACCAATGTACATGCCCTTGACCGGAATCGAACCTGGGACCTTTCATTCCACAGACCAACACTCTACCACTGAGCCAAACCAGTTTCGGCTATTTTTAAAAATCTTTATTGTTGAGAGAATTACAGATGTCCCTTTCCCCCCCCACCCTCTTATAGTCTCCCTCCACTCAGTTCCCACCCTGTCCCAGGCCTTCACCACTCTATTGTCTGTCCTTAGGTAATGTATAGATGCATATAAGATCTTTGGTTAATCTCTTCCCATACCCCCACTACCCTTCCCTCAGAATCATTAGTCTGTTCCATTTCCATGCCTCTGATTCTATTTTATTTACCAGTTTATTGTGTTCATTAGATTTCTTATTTGTTTATTTTGATTTTTAGGTTCAATTGTCGACAGATAATGTATTTATTGCCTTTTTATTGTTTATATGTTTTATCTTTTTCTTCTTCCTCTTCCTCTTTTTAAAGAATACCCTTCAGCATTTTTTGTAATACTGGTTTGGTGTGATGAACTTGTTTAGCTTTTTTTTTTGTCTGTGAAGCTCTTTATATGACATTCAATTCTAAATGATGGTTTTGCTGGGTAGAGTAATCTTGGTTTTAGGTCCTTGCTATTTATCTTGCTGAATATTTCTTGCCACTCCCTTCTGGCTTACATAGTTTCTGTTGAGAAGTCATATGACAGTTGTATTGGCACGTCCTTGTAGGTAACTAATTGCTTTTCTCTTGCTTCTGGTAAGATTCTCTTTGTCTTTAGCCCTTGGAATTTTAATTATGATGTTTCTTAGTGTGGTCCTCTTTGGGTTCCTCTTGTTTGGGACTTTGTGCTTCCTGGACTTGTCTATTTCTTTCACCAGGTAGGGGAAGTTTTCTGTCATTATTTTTTTCAAATAGGTTTTTAGTATCTTCCTCTCTCTCTTCTTCTGGCAATCCCATAATGAGAATGTTGGTAGGCTTGAAGTTGTCCCAGAAGCTCCTTACACTATCTTCATATTTTTTTATTCTTTTTGCTCCTCCGATGGGGTGATTTTTGCTTTCTCGTATTTCAAATACTTGATTTGATTCTCAGGATCTTCTACTCTATTCTTGGATCCCTGTATATTATTCTTTATTTCATCAGTGTATACTTAATTTCTGACTGTTCCTTTTCTATTATTTTGGCATTCTCACTAAGATCCTTGAAGGTCTCACTAAGTGCCTTGGAGGCACTTGGAGGCACTTGGAAGATTCTTGAGTAATCTATAGCTGTGGTTTTGAACTCTATCTAGGAGCTTGCTTTCTTCCATTTCTTTCATTTGTGGCATGTTTCTTTTTCTCTGCATTTTGACTATTTCATGTGGTTGTTTCTATATATTGCATAGAGCTTCTATGTATCCTTGAGTTGATAGAATGGACTTGTGTTGTAGGTGTCCTATAGGGCCCAATGGGTTAGCCTCCCAGTCACCTGAGCGGGGCACTTTAGGTGTGCCCTTTTGTGGGCTGTGTGCACAGTTGTGTTGTAGTTGAAATTTGATTGCTGTTGGTATCATTGGGAGGGATTGATCTCCAGGCCAAATTGGCTGTGGGGACCAGCTTCGAATACAGGGGGAGAGCTGCTATGCAAGAGACACCCCTATGGAGCAGGGCTTGCTTCAGTGGGGCTTTGGTGCTCATTGAGTTTGCCCCTTGAGTGTGTCACTCATGGATGTGCAGAGTTGTAATCTAGTATGCTCTGACACTGACCAATGGGTATACTGGCTCTTGGGTCTCTAGGAAGGTGCAAAGTCAGCCACTGCCTGGGACCATCCATCAGGAGATACAGAGAGATCTGCAGATTCCTACTATTTGTATAGGCGCAGTGTTTCCCAAAATGTGGTACGTGTACCCCCAGGGGTATGGGAAGAGTTTGGTGGGGGGTACACATTGCACCGGAGTTTGGTGGGGATATGCACTGCACTGTGCTTAGCTGCACCTCATTCTACGTTCTCATGAGTACGAGGGGTACTCAGCATTACAAAAATTATAGCAGGGGTACACATATGTCAAAAGGTTGGGAAACATTGGGCAGGGTTTAAAGTGTCCAAGCAAGGCCCAGCTATGAAGCAAGGCAGGCTGAAGGTAGTGCTGGGTCTTGGGCCTCTTATTGATAGGTTTGGGGCTCCTGACCCAGCTGAAGCTTGTTTGAGAGATTTTAGCAAAGTCTGAAGCCTGAGTAAGGACAGCAAAAGCCACTGCCCACAGGTTGAATGAGGCTGTAAATTGGATGGGGCAGGGTCTCAGGGAATCACCTGGGCAGAGCAAACAGAAATGGCTGCCAGTCAGCCCAGTCACCGGGGAGGTCCCATTATAGGAACAATGACCCTTGCAAACACCTCCATCTGGGAGAAAGCCCCCTGAATTCCAGTTCCGATTCCAAACAATCAAGTTTCTCTTGTATGTGTCTGTATCCACTGAAGCTTCACCCTGGAACTCAGAGAAAGTGGACTTTGTAAGTTCTTTCATGTGGCCAGTCTTTTAAGAGGAACAACTGGGTCTCCAGCAGCCTCTATACCACTAAGCTACAATCCCCACTGGTTTTTACAGCCCATAGTTATGGAGACCTTATTTACATCCTCTGGGAGCCTGGGCTGTGGGTCTGGTGTGGGTCTGGGACCCCTTACTCCTCATGGGTGGCCTCTGCAGAGACGATCTCCCTGCCAATTAAAAACACACGTGGGTACTGGTCCAGCCAGTTCCACGCCTCTGCCCCCCTCTTGACAGTCTCAGTGTGCTTTCTTCTTTAGTTCTTTAGTTGTAGAACTTTAATTCAGCCACCTTTTAGGTAGTTCTGGATGATGGTGGTTCTGTATTTTAGTTGTGATTTTGATGCGGTTGTGGGAGGTGACGAATATAGGTGGTTGCCTACGCTGCCATCTTGGTTCTCCCTGAAGACAGATTTTAACTCAACCTGAGGCAGAAGTACAGCAGGTCCTGTAATAAGGCAATTTTGTTAAAACATTCCTGAGCTACCCTTGGAACTTAACTCCTGTTTATGTCAGTTAGCCTATGGAAAAGTCAGTTTCATTAATGTCAATTTGTTTAGTCACAGAACCTATTGTTAAGTGAGGACCAACTATACCCTCAGTTAATGGGTCCTAAAACAACACGGGTGGCTTGGTAAGCTTGAAGGCTCTTTGTCACTGAAGGTATTCAAGTGGAAGCTGCTGATATGGTCAGAAAAGAGAAAACAACCTTATAATGTCATAAGGTGGACGAAATTTTCTCCTAGCTCCTTCCAGTTCCATGATTCTATAATTTCCTTCTATGGAATTGTTGTAATTTGGCCACATGGAGATAAAAGTACTTAGATACCCCAAGAAAAAGTTTGTAGTTACCATCAAAGTATATTGTTTTATTTAAGTAGAAACCACAATTAAATTTATGTGCCGAGGAACTTATAAACATGAAGTTTCTTTCTTGGTATTTTGGACTATTAGAATATGGTATTTGACTATTTCACCTGTTTTTAACTTTGCATCATTTCCTGAGTAAATTTGTTATGATTTAATCAATATACCATTGAGTTTTTTAATATTTAGTACCTAGTAATAAATGCATATGAACCTTTTTAAGATTAAAAATATTTAATTTTGCCGGGACCGGTTGGCTCAGTGAATAGAGCGTCAGCCTGCAGACTGAAAGGTCCCGGGTTCGATTCCCATTAAGAGCATGTACCTTGGTTGCGGGCACATCCCCAGTGGGGGGTGTGCAAGAGGCAGCTGGTTGATGTTTCTCTCTCATCGACGTTTCTAACTCTCTGTCCCTCTCAATTCCTCTCTGTGTAAAATCAATAAAATATATTTTAAAATATTTAATTTTTTTCTTACAAAATCAATACATTTTTTAATGGAAAATCATAAAGCACAAAACATTTTTAAAAATACTTGTGCCTTTTTTTACACAGAGATCATTTTATGAGTATCTTTCTATACATATAGGATATACATAAATGTACTGTTTCATATGCTCATGCTATGTACGCTGATTTATAACCTACTCTTTTAATTTGTAATATATTCTCTCCATTCAATAAGAATGGAATGTCCCACAGTTTGGGTCTGTTTTCTTCCTCTCAATTATATTCAGGTTGTAGGTTTTGGACAGAAATGTGACAGAAGGGATGTGTCCTTCCCAAGGTACCTTATCAGGGGGTACATGATGTTGGTTTCTCCCAGTACCGGTGCAGTTAGCTTTGATCACTTGGTTAAAGTCTAGCTGCCAGATTTCTCTTTGTAATAATTCCTTTCCCCTTGATAATTAAAAAGTAATTTGGCCTGGCTCATGAGGTTCAGTAGTTGAGTGTTGACCTATGAACTAGGAAGATATTGTTTGATTCTAGCCAGGTCACATGGTCTTGTTGTGGGCTCAATCTTTGGTGTGGGGTGTGCAAGAGGCAGTCGATCAGTGATTCTCTCTAATCATTGATGTTTCTATCTCTCCCGCTCTAAAATCAATAAAAATATATATATTTAAAGTAATAGGTAAGGAGATACTGTGAAACTATCCTGTTTCCCATCAAAGTTTTACTCCAGCAGTTTTAGCATCTACTAATAATGTTTGCCCAAATCAACTATGACTATACAACTGTAGAATTTGATACAGCATTGTTTTTTAATATTAACTCTTGTGAATTTACCTCTTAAAGGGTTTACAGCCATCTATGAAAGCATAGGATCCCTCAGACAAGTTCTTGAAGCCAAGATGAAATTGGACAAGGACCAGCTACAGAAACAAATCCAACAGATGCAGAAGCTGGAAGCTCCCATGTGAAGGGAGTGGGACAAGGACTGCAAAGGTGGTTTTGCCAGTGGGTCTGGGAGCTCAAGACCTCTGTAGCCAGGGTGTTGTGGCATTTGGGATTGTTCTATTCGTGGCGTGCATGTGCCAAGAAATGTGTTTTCATGGGTCTAAATGTTTACCTTGAGTCTTGAAAACACTCTATCTTTAAAAATCCTTACTAATAATAGAGGAATATGCAAATTGTCCAGGACTCTGTCACAGTAATGACAGAACAGCAGGCTGGTGGGGCAACCAGACTGGCAGGGGGGGTTAGTGAGGGACAACCAAATGACTGAACAGCAGCCAGCATGGGGAGACTAGGCTGGCAGGTGGGGTGTTGGGGTGGCTAGGCCAGCAGGGGGGACAGTTAGGGGCGACCAGGCTGATGGGGGGGCAGTTAGGAGTGATCAGGCTGGCAGGGGGGCAGTTAGGAGCAATCGGGCAGGCAGGCAGAGGTGGTTAGGGGTGATCAGGCTGGCAGGGGAGGAAGTTAGGGGTGATCAGGAGGCAGGCAGACAGGCAGGGGAGCAGTTAGGAGCAAGCAGTCCCAGATTGTGAGAGGGATGTCACAAATTGGAGAGGGTGCATGCTGGGCTGAGGAGACCCCCTCCCCCTCGTGCACAAATTTCATGCACCAGGCCACTAGTATTAAATATAATTTTTACCACTTTATTCCATTTCTCTAAATTCAATGGGATATCCTTCCCTCCCTCCCTGATTTGGAAAGGCTTTATCCCCTTCATTTTATGAATGAAAAGATTTAATTTTCCTTCAGTGCTTGATGCTCCGGCCAAGACCTTGCTATTTTGAAAATGTCATGGTGAATTTTTTTAAAATTAAAAAACTAATGAATTGTCACAGAAATGTGTTGCTCCTTACCCTAAATTAAGAGAATGTCCTGATAGATTAGAATTTAACCTTGGAGTCCATATTTGGATCTTATTATTGTTGTCTATGCATTTCTTTTTTAAAAATTTATCCTTATTGTTGAAAATATTATAGATATCCCCTTCCCTGACCCCATTGTTGATCCCTTCCACCCCACACCCCTGCTCAAGTCTTCACCACACTTCTTGTAAATCTTCTGTCTTTTGTAGGGGGAAAGGTCTTAACATTTTTTTGGGAAAAACACCACTTATATAATGAGAGCAGTTTAAAAGTTGATAACTGCCATATAGATTGCAAATTAAAATGGAAACTAGAGACAATTATGTAGATAATGCAAGACACAATATCTACATTGACCACATAGTTATACCAGGTTTTAATATTGAAAAATGTTTTTCAATTATCCACAGTCTGTATAGTGATAGCCATATATTTAATAATGAAATGGTGGTTAATAGTCTGTTTATTTCAGAATTAATTGTTCATTAATTATAATAGGATGTGAGCATTTTTCAGGCTTTATGATCTACTCTCTTAACTGTTTCTAAAATTGGCACAAAGTGCTTCTGTTTATAAACACTGTATTCTGTGCCTTGGTTTCATTATGTCAATGCACTGTACCCCACAAAAGTTTTGCAGACAAAGTAGAAGGCATGATAATATATCAGAATTATGATGTAATAATGGGATCCTATGTATTTTTTTAAACTCTAAATTTAATCACTGTCAAGACATTAACCAATCAATATTATTAATGAAATAGAAATTCATACTTTTGTATGAACAGAGAATCAAATTGATATTGCATTTATAATACTGTCAAGAAATTTTAAGTTTGAGCAACTTTATAGACAATGGGTATTTCTTTTTAGTCGCCATATTGGCTCCGTTGTTCAATATTGACTCAGTGCTGTCTGTTCACCTGTGGATGTAAAAATTGGTCATAAGACACACACCGTTCTAAACTGTGAGGGTGCCCAGGAGAAAGGAAATAGGAATACTTTTAAACATTGTAAAACCTTTTTTTTCCCCAAGGACTCAGGAAAATCAAAGTGTTTTCAATTTTTAGGATAAATTATAAATGAAACATCTGTCTATTACTGATTATTCATATAAAATATGCTGCTAAAGTATATAATAGTCTACCCTCAATGGCTTGACAAAAACAATTTTTTTTTTTTAATTCGGACCAGAGAAATCATATAAGGAATATGTCATCCAACACATATTTCCTTATTTTGTCACGAATTCCTGGCTCTCAGTACAGGCAGACCATTTCCATGTAACAATGAAAATGTTTAATGCTCTTTTGCAATCAGAAAGTAGATTTCCTTTTGTGGCAGCATAACCCTGTTTAATTCAGTTCTCCGAGTCTTGAGCACAAGCCACAGCACAGAGAGTCACGGCCCCTCCTCATCTGTCTCCGCGGCCCTGAAAAGGAAGATCAGCCCAGTGACCCCTGGGGAGTCGGGCACAGGATTACAGCTGGAGGCAGGGAGCGGGTGATGCTTGGCCATCCACTGAGTTGCTCGGGTGCTTCTGATGCTGCCGTTACGTGTCCTGAGCTCTGGCAGTGGTTCTTGTCCGTGGCTGCGTGTTGAAATCACCTGGGGAGTCCACAAAGCTGCTGATGCCTGGGCTGCCCCGGACCCATGACGTCAGAGCCCCTGGGAGGTAGGCGTGGGCATCAGTTTGTGTCAAAGGCCCCCAGTGACTCGTGCGCTGGGGAGGTTGTGAAACTACTCTTATCACCAAAGTTTAAATGAGAATCAGCTTCTGTGTTCTTTCCTTTACCAGAAATTTGCAATAAAAATTAAAAAAATCCAAATAAATGTGTTGTGTGATTTTTAAAGTCTTTCAGTGGGAGGTAAACATTTAATTTCATCAAAATGTCATAGAAATGCTCCTTTTAGCCTGGCTGGTGTGGCTCAGTGATTGAGCATTGACCCAGAAACCAAGAGGTCTCAGGTTCTATTGCGGGCTTGATCTCCAGTAAGGGGCATGAGGAGGCAGCTGATCTATGATGTTTTTTTCTCATCAATGTTTCTATCTCTCTATCCCTCTCCCATCCTCTCTCTCTAAAAATCATTAAAAACATTTTTTTAAAAAAAGGAAGTGTTCCTCCTACCTTCCTGAGAAAACCACGTGGTGGTGGATATAAAGGCTGTGAGTCCTGGCAGACCTGTTGGGAGCTGGGAAGTCACAGGAGCTGCTCCATCTGTGGGTCTTGTAGGTGCCGTGCTTCTGGAATAAAGCCAGCCGCAGGCCCCTGTGCGAGCTGTGTGCTCACGCTGCACCTTAGTGTGCATTAACTCACTTTGTGATATTAACAGTGATTTGGGTCCTATTCACTCCCCATTTTACAGATGAGAAAACTGGGTTACCTGAAGATAAAGTAATTCCTTGAATCCTGTAGCTAGTAAGTGGGAGCCAGGATCCAACCAGGCAGCCTGCTTCCCAAGCCTGGGCTCTTACCCAGGACATACTCTACCTCTAAGAGGCATCCTTGCATCCCACATATCTGACATGCCGGGCCACTGACTCTAGCCCCATCTGTATGACCTTACCGTTCCACCATCTGAGTCCCTTTGCTTTTTTCCCCTTTAAATCTTTATTGTTGAGAGTATTACTGATGCCCCGTTTTTTCTCCCCATTGTCCCCCTCTACCTAGTTCCTGCCCTGCCCCAGGCCTTCACCATCCTATTGTCTGTGTCCATAGGTAATACATATCTCTCTATATAAAAGCCCAGCAACTAGAATGGTGGAACGACCAGAATGACTGGTGGCTATGATCGGTGGCACTGCGGCAGCCAACCAGCCTGATCTGGGCCCTGATCAGTCCTCCCTCTCCCCTGCCGGCCCAGCCCAATGGGCCCCCATCAGGGCAAGCTGGCTGGACCCCACCCATGCATGAATTCGTGCACTGGGCCTCTAGTATGCTTATAAGTTCATTGGTTAATCTCTTCCCACCCCACCCACCCCCCATCCTCACCCCATTCCCTCTGATACTCATCAATCTGTTCCATGTTTCTATGCCTCTTGTTCTATTTTATTCATCAGTGTAATTTGATCATTAAACTCCTTGTTCATTTACTTTGATTTTTAGATTCACTTGATAGATATGCACTGGTTATGATAGGCAGCCTTACCAGTGTTTCCCAAACCCTCCCCCACATCTCCTGGTATTCACCCCACTGTGCACTCCCCTCCCCTGGAGTGTGGGCTGGGTTTAATAATAAGCTTCTCATTAACAGAATGACAGGAGTAATGGCTTGTCACTTCTGAGGTTATGTATAAAAGGACTGTGGCTTCCTTCTAGCGCGCGTTCTCTCTCTCAATCTCTCTCTCTCTCTCTCTCTCTCTCTCTCTCTCTCTCTCTCTCTCTCCTCTCTCTCTCTCTCTGAAGCAGTGTTATGAAGGGACCGTGTGGTGTGGCAAGGAATTGAGACCCTCAGTCCAGTAGCCTGAAACAAATTGACACACACAGTCGTATACTCATGTTCATCACAGCAGCCAAAGGTGGAAGCCTCTCAATGTCCATTGGTGGAAGCAAGGATGAGAAATGTGGCACATGCCTAAAGTGGAGTACTCTTTGGCCATAAAAACAAGGGAAGCTGTGACACATGCTATAGCATGAACATTATGCTAAGTGAAATAAGCCAATCACCAAAGGACAAATACTGTATGATTCCACTTGCATGAGGTACCGGGAATAATCAAATCCGCAGAGACGGAGAGGAGCGTGATAATAGCTGCCTGGGTCTGGGGGAGGAGGAGGATGGGGTGGGGGATGATCGGGGGTAGGAGAAGGATGGGGGGAAGGGGGGACAGGAGTTAGTGTTTAATGGGTATGGTTGCAGCTGGGAAGATGAAAGCTTTCTGGTGGTGATTGCACAAGGGGGATGTACATAATGCCACTGAAGTGTACACTTAGAAATGGTTACGATGGTAGATTTTATGTGTATCCTACCACACACACACACAAAGGAACAAAAGAAGTGGATTCCCCAACCACGAAGTGAAGCTTTTGTAGGAGACTGCAGCCTGACGCTTCACTGTAACTTCACGAGAGAGTCAGAGACACCAGCTCAGGCATGCCCACA